GCTCACGACGTTCGGCTGCCCACCGACTGGCTTCATCCCAGCTGACTTCGCGATCTTCTTCCCTATCACATTTGGCGCCAACGAGAACGATAGAAGCCTGTGGGGAGGCAAGTGCGCGGGCGTCATCTAGCCACCGTTGGAGAGGACTAAAGGTACATCGGCTGTGAAGCCAACGGCGAATACTCAACATCCGAGTTTCTAGGCGAAGAAAGGACTGATTATTACCGTGTTATGTCGAACACCAGGATGACACCTGCAGCACCACGATAGTAACTACGGGTGACGGATCGAAAGCGTTCTTGCCCCGCTGTGTCCCATAGCTGTGAGTAGAAGCACATTTGACCAAGATCCCTCGAGTTCTAGACGAATTTTGGGACACACCTGAAGCTTTATTCGTCTGTCACCAATTTTGACTATTCGACTGGCAAATTCGACACCAATTGTATGCGCAGATTGCTCCCTGACTGCAAAATATAATCCAAGAGTCGCAAATCATCAGGATATTAGGAAAATGAAGATTGGTGTTCCAGTGTAGTCAGTGAGAATTATAGGCGAAAATGCGAGAGAACCTGACAAGTATTCCGGACAAAGTGATGTAGCAAGCACGATTTCCCCGTCCCCGACTCTCCTAACGAGGCACACATATTATGTCACACTTGTGCTCTTTGAGTTTATTTGCACCTCCCAACGCAGGGCATACCGATTATGACAAACTTCATAAGGAAGTCTTAGAATGTATACGTCGTGATTTGAACAAGGGTGTTAACAGTGACTCAGAGGATTAGAGGCGCTTACCATAAGCTTCATATAGCTCGACGTGCTCCACCCCACCAGCGTCACTCTCGAGTGTACTTGTATCTCCAAAAGATGGCATGTCTGACCCGTCCTCAAGCCAAAGAGGCGACGGAAGTGTATGACACAATTGAAAGCGAGTCTCGACGCCAACAAATATCAACATCTCCGTTCTATCCGCCTACTGAGAAAAGGCCAACTCTGTTTCCGCATACAGAAAGATTCCCGACATTGCAACAAGCATCTAGACCCGTCAACGCTATCTTTCGTCGCCTCACCGCTGGGATCGGGCACACCGTTCGATAGGCGCAGGAGCGACCGGATATAAAGGCTATCTCCGTTCGCTCTCATTCTCTTTTAACCTAGTTGGCTTTGCATTTCCGCAACTCAAACTCTCCCGGCGCATCATTCACAAAAATACGGACAACACATCTTGCAACACAACTCATATTCCATCTGACCTTCATCCACCAACTACTTTTTTGTCGTCTATAGAGAATGGTTCGTGCGGGTAAGACATCAAAAAGTAACGTTACAGAGGGATCATCTCCACCCCAAGACACCAGCTCTGCAGATGCCTCCCCTACCAGCAACCTAAACTTCCCAACACCTTCTTCCCCACAATCAAGAAACAAAGCCTCCGCGGCCAACAAGAAAAGAAAGCGTGTGAGCGAAACGATGGAGGGGTCCATAAGTGCGTCAAAGGACCTTAGGGATAAGAAGCGGAAAGTTAAAGAGGAGGACGGCGAATGCGCCAACGCAGATCAAGATGAATCGGCCTCTGAACTAGGCGAGGATGATGCATTGGATTCAACTAGCCCGTCCCTGGCACCGTATGACGCCCGACGGGTTCTCGAAGTGCTCGAAGTGTACGCATCTACATTCCCCACGATCTTTAGCAAAACTCATGGTTTCGTGATTTCTGTGCCACAGCGTAGACCCCTCCGGGTTACTGGATGTCGAGAGTACATCGCGGGGTATGACAAGTACGTTGCGCAAGCTGTTGGAAGAGCCTTCGTCCGTCTCCCTCCGTGCACTTTTGGATCGCATCCGGCATGAAGCACCTGTCCGTGATTCTCGAACTCGGCCTGTTAGACCTGCTGTGGTCAAGTTCTTCCGGCTTGCTCAGATGCTGCTCCAGGATATTGCTCAGAGATCGTCTGCCGTGAAGTTTCTCGACGATGCGGTGATATCACCAAAAGACGATGAACCAGATGAGGACACAAAGACTACGGCCACCAAAAGTGAGAACAAGACCGAGGAATCCCTGCAATATCGCGAGAAGCACATTCAGTATGCGCTGCATCAGCACCTTCCTACTGGCGATTTTTTCACTTCTGCGACCGTCCTTACTAAGAAGGAAATTACTTTGCTGGCAAAAGGTCTGTGTTCCACCATGTGTTCTACCCGACTGCTTTAAGCGATCTCGTTGACCAGGTCAAGCGTCTCTAACTGCCGTCCTCCCCACTGTTCCCGTGCTGCCCCCCAGCCTTCCTAAGCTTGGTGACTACGCCCCAGGAGTAGCGAATCACCCTCGTCGCCCGTATTCACTCCGCAAGGCGCCTGTCCCCATCTCTTCCGCCTCATTCCTCGATTACGGACCATTCGCTTCCCTCGCCCCCGCCTTCGACTCCGATGGCGGCCAAATCGGGCGAGATACTCTCGGGCTAGTGCTAGAAATGAAAGGGGCTAGGAAAGCTAGGCGGTTGGGGGCAGTGAGGAGGCAGGTGGAACTGGCGAACCTGAAGGAGAAGCCTTTGCCTTCAATTGAACCATTCCCTCATGTCCAGGAACTGTCCGCGCTTGGCTTGGAGGATCGATCGACTCGCAAACTGGTGTATGAGTGCAAATCGGCGAAAGCAGAGTTAAGGGGACTGGCGAGGGAGATGCTCCCTGAGGACGTCGTGGAAGACTTCTTGATAAGCGTAGATCAAATGGAACTAGAGAGAGGTGTTGGGGAGTTGCTGATAAGGATTTCCAATGCCTTGGGAGATTTGCAAGTATTGCAGGAAAGGAGACTCAGGGCTGGGGCCCCTGGTAAGGAGGTTCCAGTCGAGATCGATGGAGAGGAATGGCATCTTGGTATGCTCGGTCCGGTTATGCCCAATATCTGCTTATCTACCTTGATCTTCCTATAGCACGCCAAATTCTGTCATCTCTGACAACCATCGCTTCGCTCCGCCCGCGTGCTTCCACGTCCTCCCTCCATTCTATTATACCACCGCCTAATGTCTTGCACACAATTCACAAAACTCTTCCTCGCGAACCAGTGCCAGGATACAAAGGCACTCTTTTAATCAACCGTGATTATGCCCTCATCGACAACACAACTATCCGATCCTCCGCCCTCCCCGTCCCACCTCCCATCACGGGCTCCACATCCAACCCAACTCAAACCTTGCCCCCGACACCGGCGATGATGCAGGGTGGATTTCCTGCAGCAGGAGCAAATCGGGCGCCAACCCAACTCGCCTACTCCTACCACCGCCCTGCTGCTGCCAATGCTAACGCCCAAACCCCCCATGCCCAAGGAGGAACAACAATGCAGTACTACCGTCAAGGGTATTATTCGCCTCATTACAGCCAAAGCGGGTACTATGGCTATGCGGGATACGCCACTACAACAGGCGCTGTCAGTGCAACGCCGCACTATACCCCACCCCCTAATGCCACTGCAGGGGGAAGAGCGCTCCCGAATTTAGCTACAAAGTCATTGAGTGGCTGGGGTTATGCATCAAGCAGCCCGGCACCCTCTGGCGGGGCTTCCGGAGGGGCCACAGCTGTTGGTACCGGAGGGGTCCTCCCCAGTGCTACAGCTTTGCCTGTTCATATGAGGAGGATCAATGGGACGGCAACACCTGGAAGTCAAACACCTGGGACGCCGGGGAGTCCTGCTACAGGTAGTTATGTATGGAACTCCAATATCTCTATGCCGACTACGCCTTCATCACAGCAGGGCGTTGGGACGACTTAATCCTTGTATCCATGGGGTTGCAAACACCCCGTACGCCTTCGGTTTTAGTCCGTTCCGTGAATTGTTGTTCCCGCTTTTTTTTCAACTTATTCCCCGATATTAGCTTTCTCTGGCGTGGATTAATCCAGATTTTGCGAGTTGCTCCACGAAAGACCGTACATTACATTACATCTTCGGCATATGAAAGATAGGGTGTCCCCTAGCGGAATTTCTTTGGGACCCAACGTCCGTTCTCGCCCCAGAACAAGCCAAAATCAACTATCTTGAATGATCCAACTACGTGGATTTCGCCTCTTCTACGTTTACCTCAGCTCCTACGATTTTAGTTTCAGTCGGTCTTCAGATTACAGCTTAGCAGTCTATCGACGTCGTATTTGTCCAGGGAGCCAAAATGATTAGGATATCGTTTTTTTAGTCCACTAGGTCCCACTGAGGATCGGAGCTGGATGCCGTGAGTCCTGAGTCGAGAGTATGCTCGTAGGTATTATCTAATCTATAGATTTATTATCATTGTCATACACTAGCGAATCGAGGTGGAATCTGGTGAAATCAAATTGGAACGCCTCGTTTACAACAATAAAAGCTTCAGTAGTGATGGCCCCGCCAAATAATTGCCGAACTGCTAGAGACGTAAGCGCCGTGAGATCTACGACCTAGTGGTTCTCAATAATAGAGCTTCGACTTGAGGTTTTGTTTGGACCAAGGAACACGCGATGGAATTTCATTCGAGGATGACCTTGCTGATTCACTGGCAAAGCAAGGCACATTACATAATCTCCTTCCGAAAGGATCAGCGTTTATACAGAATTTAAATAAGCGCCGCATGCAAAAATGAATGGAACCGATACTGGAATAGACTCGAGCACCCAGAACCAACTTGAAGTCAAAGCATTGGAGTACTTGCGTGGAATTACATTGAACGGCGTGGACGTCCCTCTAAACATTTCACATATGTTCCTACGTTTGAGTCGCCTTGTACAACTTCGCACTAGTACTGGTCATGCCTCCCTAGGCCAATAATTATTGGCCGAGCTTGCGAGTCTTTTGTTATTATATCCTTTCCAAACGGCCGGTATTACAGCAAGCCAACAAAAATTGGCTTGCTGTCTGAGCACGATATTGGAGTCGTTGTTGGGTGTCGTGCTCTCTGACCTAGCGTGTTGTCTTTTATATACCGTCGCATACATAGTAGTTCAGAGGCAAAACAGACAAGTGGCCAAAGCGATAGATGAGAATAAAGCGAGTGACGGAATAAAAGTGAAAGGTCGGTCCCACCCCGTCTTGGATCGATGACGTTGGACTGTTATTCCATCAAATATGGAAGGAGCCAGGATGTTGAGTCAGAAGATTCTATGGAGCCTGCGCATGGAAAATATGGGTGCTTCAGCGCCGTATGTACATTTAATAGTTATATTCTCCCTCACGTCTGAAACCGCTGAACAGGGTCCCTGATTTGGATCGGATCGGCATTGGATTCGCCCCAGATTGGCGGGGTTTGAGTGGGCTTGGCTGTGAAACATTTCAATCCATGCCAATGCCCTCAAGATCTGAAGAAAACTCAATGCCAATCCGATCCGAATCCGACTTATCAGGAGCCCTACCGCTGAGAGACTGGTTGCCATGTTTGGAACGCCGTTTTAAGAGAGATCATATCCCTTTGAGTTACCTTCTGACGAACACCGAGATCTACCCGCCGACAAGGGCGAGGATCTGGAGAGGATCGCATGAAGTGGCAGAACTCTTAGATCGGGGTACTTCATATTTTGTCTATAGTAAGTATTTATACTGACAAGTCAACTAGAAGCAAGGTGGAAGAATACCGAGAGACGGCGCGTTTGGTCCCAGATCTTCAGAGATGCATATCAGATTCTCAGTACCAACTCGACACATTTGCATCCCGATATCGGGCTGGAAAGGAGTTGGTTGGTGTTTCGTTGACACTTTGGTTCCAATGACTGATGTCCATTACTAAGAGCGAAGCAGAATGTGCTGTTGTGGAGGGCGCTTGTTTGACGAAAGTAATACAATGCAGAAAAGTACACGTAAGCAAAAGTGGCAGGTTTTACATAATTATGAAGCAGCCAGAGTGACCTGCAGTGCAGGTAAAGTTCATATTCACAGGAGGTTGCATTGTGTCAGCGGGGTATTCGGTGATCAGATAGCGTGGATGGCGTCGCGATGTTGTAATTCATGACGTGAGCCATCAGATTGTAATAAACGTAGGTCGGTGCGTTGGATCGAATGATACAGTTAGTGCGTTTGCGTCGTCCGAACTTGAGTCAAGGATGAAGTGCGAACCTCGATGATAAAAGAAATTCCATGTACCAGCAGTCTGACGGCTGCCTGAGTCATTGTTGAGGGGCGAGATTTGCTTCTGATGCGAGGTCACGTCAAGCAGCCAAAGTGTGCTAAGCCACGGAATGATTGACAGACGAAGACCGGCGGGGTCTGGCACTTGCATAAGTGGTCGCTCGCAGCGCGGCTAGCCATGAGAGAGCGAGAACGCACTTCAATGCACTGGTGAGACTCTGTACATTGAACGGTTCCAGGGCGTGCAGTGTGTGTGCCGTCGCAGTGCCATCACAGTGGTATAACCTGGCAGTTGGGAACACAGCCAAAGTGCGAATGGATGTCAAATGAGCAATGTCGGGGAGCGTCGGAACCGACCCAACTCGGGTTAAGGTTAAAACCAGGCTTGAGCCAATCAGAGGGCGAGAAACAGTCGTTCGGCTGGACCCGCGCTATTAGTATAAGTTAGATGTCACCGTCTCACGTGTAAGGTTACATAAATAATAAACAAAACAAAACCGGATTTCTACTCTGCCTCACGCTAGGTAAATGTCTACCAAGAAGGTCACACAAGCCCTTGCGAAACTCGAAAAGATATCAAAGTCTAGTGTTCATGATGCTACAAATATTCGCCTGCTTTTCGACACTGTCAAGACTTTGGTATTGTTGTCATCATACGCGGTCTGAGAACGCGCTCTCAGACGCGTTTTTCTTGATACAGATCTCTGGAAAAGGCATCAGGTTGTCAGAAGAGCTCGAGGACAGCCTCGTAGATGCATTTAAGAACCACATTGCACCTTTCTATGAACTAGCGCCTGCAGAAGCTCTGAGTGTGGCTGCAGCCTCAGCGAACTATATCTTTGAGCGTAAAGTGCGCGACAAGCTACCGAAAAGAATGAGGGAAGGTCACAATTTACTTGATACTGAGATCGTTCGATGGCAACAAATCATTGATCGAGGGATACTCTCTGGCATACTTGTAGGCGCTTCCCGTCCCTTCCCAGTACTTCGCTCACAATCACCAGGATTATGTCGAGTCGTCGTCAGCTGGTGGGTAGTTGCGATAGAGATAGCTGTCCTTACTTACGCGCTGAAGTCATAGACAGGGACGCCGTTGGAATCTGTACTTACCCTGCGTTCTTGAACATCCTCAAGTCTGCGGTATGGACATCATTAGACTATGCCTTGAAGAATCAGGCAAAGGACAGTTTCAGGCTTTGCGATTTAGCACTAACTTGCTTCTTAGTTACTTGGATTCCTGGTAGACACGTCTCGAGGTTGTCCCAAGAACAAGAGTATACTTACAAATCGCAGTATATTATCCACGTGCGCGTCTCCTCAACGCTGGTTATTTACAGTGTACTGATGGGACCAATCATCAGAGCCGATCTCGCAAAAGTTCTCTCGCTCACGAATGGTATGCGGTGCATATGGATGTGCTTCACTGTGCTTGAACGTCTCGCTTTTTAGAGTATGTTGTTATGGATCCCCTACTGGAGTTGATGGCCCGGCTTGTCCCTTCTATCAATCATAAAAAGGAGCGCAATGAGTTCATTCAAGGGATATTCCATCATGATTCAGTTGAGAAAGCATTTGGCGAAAGCACTTCGATCGAACTTGGTCGTATTTTTGACAACACCAAAGGGGAGAGCATAGCTGAGGTAAACACGAAGCTTGTTCTTCAACCCTGATAGCTAAATCATCACTCAATAAGGACGGTTTGCAACTGATTCGACTGATGGGAGCGCGCGATCAAAGGAGGCACGTAAATTCCAATATCAACTCCGTGCGACTAGTTAGACCGTCCTTGCAGGCCACAAGCTTTCGAAGCGAAGAACATCACTGCCAATGGCATCGCTTTCATTCAACCCAATTTATGTTATGTCTTTATTGATAAGATTGGAATAATTGCCAATGTTGGCTCAGAGGTGAGCTTGAAACAGGATTGTGCACATCTATTCATTTATGATTATTTAGGAGGAAGGGGTTGAAACGCTTATCGTCGTGTTCGAGTCGATTCAAGCTATCCATTTTATTCGTAACTGTGCCTTTGACGTCCCTGAAGGAGAATGTCTACACATTCTGATCTGATCTGATCTACAGCTCTGGAAGGACTGAGGGTCTTGATAACCCTACACACTCCCCCGCTTTTACAATACCGACCGCTAGAACAGCCAAACCAGTCACTCTCCCTATTTTTCGATACAAAATTCGCCGAAAATGCACCCCTCCGTCTCGCCTTAGCTGCTCATGGGATGGTCAGACGTTACTCATGTGGCCTTTCGGCTTTCTATATTAACATAAATTCATAGCAATCTAAAATTTTTGACTCCAGTGCTCCTGTGTCTGCCGGGAAACATCCACGCGCATCCCAAACTGCAGCACCCATTGACCTAATTGGCCCGAAAACCCAAGCCTCCGGCCATGCAAGCTCAAAGGCCAGTAATACTCATGCTATCTAGCGTAGACACCAGATTTTGATAAAACATTCAGGTTAAAGAGAGCGAGATGGCTAGTAAGCTTCATGACCTTTACTGGGGGGGGGGGCTTTCTCATGTGCTTTAAGGGGTGGTTTCTTCCCCAATTGATGACCACTCAGAAAACGACAAATCTTTTCAGGGTATCACTAAATTTGATCCTTTCCCATCAGCTGTGGAATCCACTTTTGCTGAGGGCAAAAAGTCGTCTAAGCCTCTCAGATCACTTTCGCACGATGGAGCTGATCTTGTGCCCCAAAACGAGGGGATCCTACCGCCTTTCTCACCTTCTCCGGCATCACGATCCCGAACAACAGCTACCAGGTCAAGTAATGGTTCGAGGGTGTCTCAAAACTCTCGGCACGCTAATTCTACTCTGGAAGTGACCCGCAAACGTCCCACTGGCGTGGGGGATGAGAAAACGTCTGCTAAAAGACGACGACTTGAGTCCCCGAAGAGGCCTTCTGGCACTTCCCCGAAGTCCAAGCCTGTTACCTTTTCTCCATCTACTTCACGCTCGGGCCAGAAGATTCACAAGAGCTCAAACAAAAAGCGAGGTCGTCTCCCAACCCCTCCCGCACTCTCTGACCAGCTATCTACTGACTTCGGCATTGTCTTGGCTTCCCAACCGGAGCTAAATCGGCGACCTAGGCCCACTCCACTTGCAAAGCACCCTCGCAGTTCGCCTCATACATCGCCCATTATCCCGGAAACAGACGACATTCTCAGGGAAGCCGAAGGCGTTACAATCCCTCCCACGAGAAGGGGTCGCGTATCAAACATGATCAACGAAGATGGCAGCGAAGATACTCCAGGAACCAATGATCCGAAGGTCATAACACCGAGAGCTGACTCCCCTCCAAAGTCGGCGAGCTTCGCCATGACTGAGAGCGCATTGGAGCATAGCGAGCCGGTCTGTTCCCTGGGAACCAGTATTACATCACATCCTGACATATCTCTTTTCGAAGCAAACCGGTATCTCAGAAGGTCCAAGCGGGAAAACTCACACAATTCATGTGAAGGTCGAGGACAGTCTTGTATGCAGAAACTTCTCACTTTCAGATGAGTCGGTAACCATAAAGTGCAGATCGACGGCAACGACGGCACTCCTGAGGTTTCTAAGAAGAGGAAAAATAAAAAGGCCCCTTGGGAGCAGCCAAACTTCCCTTCATCTGACCCACCCAATAAGTTTGATATCCGACTCCCTCCCGAGCCACGCTATGCAGCGCCGCAGGTTAGTTTGATGGACGAGGCAATCAAGGATAGCAAAGCTGGCCCTGCAAGAATTGAGCCAATTTCAGGTTCAGTGGACTTGAACGAAGTATACTTTCCACTTTCTACTGATGGTGCTCGAACGCCTGAAGAATTGGGCAGGCTCTCGAAACTAGTGCTCCGCTAAGCCATCGGAAACCTACTATGCCACGATCCCCAGCTCCAGCGAAGACTGTCTCGGAACGAGATCGATCCGAGTTGCACGTTTCCCGCTCGACTAAACGTGGCACCGTAAGTCCATTAATCGATTCGAACAGCAGTAACCGCTTCCATCGTATTCAAGAGTTTCGATATTGGCAAAGAAACCCCTGGAGAACCTACGCGATCTTTATCTGCCGCGATGGCCGTCTGGGATCCCACTCACAATACATCGTCGAATAAGGGGGGACTTTGGGTAAGTTGACTCACCCGCTACAGCGCTTCTTATCGTCGTGACTACCTTGGCACCAATCACAAGAACAAAAACCCTCCCGCTGATGAACTCCTAAACTCCTCGCTGTTTCTTCCAGTTTGCACATCTCCAAAACGGATGGTTCGTTTTCTAATCTGTCATTTTTCGCCCCACTAACAAACTTAAGCTTGAAACAAGTCGTCGAGTGAGCGCTGTCCAAGGGATCACAAGGGAAACTGCAGTTCGTGCGGTTGACTGGTCGTATGAAGTTGGGCCACCTGATCTAGAGCACCAACCTGGTGGCTGGTCTCTCTCCGAGAGCGGGGTAACACCCATTCCCATCAAATCTGCGGTCCGCACCTATCCAGGGGCTCCTAAATGCTATAACACTCACAGTCATCCTACACAGCTCAAAGCACGAGCGGCGCCCCGTTCACAATATTCCGTGTCCTTTGCTAACAGTACTACTCTCCACTCACCCATAAAGGCTACTATGGCTGTTACCTCGAGTCTGAAACCGCTGAGTACATCATGACCCAATCCGAATGTAATGCCACTCTTATCTGGCTGTAGATCCGAATTTGTCAAACAAGCATAGCGATGAGAGCGTTCTTCGATCCATGCCAAAAGCTTCCAAGTCTACCAAAGGGTTTTCGGGCACTTTGGCCGACAATGACGAAAATTGGGCGTTGAGTGTAACCTCTGTGCATTTAGTCCTTTTCCTTCCTCTCGACACCGACTGATTTTCGTGACAGATCTTGAACCAAATTTGCGATGTATGCTGTGCCTTTTCTTGACACTATGTATATCGCTCACTTCAAATCACAGCGCGTCGTGGAAGCCAAGCGGCGCCAGTTCCAAGGTATCAGGCAAAGTGTGCTTATAGCTAGGAGTGAGATACTTGAGGAGATTCAAGAGGACTTACGGCACTGTCTGACCGTATCGTCCGTAACTCACATTCTTGTCTTGAACAGCACGAATGACTGCTTTGTAGCATCGATCACTACAATTGTCTTCTGGAACTGAACTCCCAATATGATGCGGCCGAACGAGACGTCAAGAGCGCCTATGACGAACTCAATCATGTTAATACTGCCATAACGGAAAAACTGCAAGAAATTATCCGAGATCATGACCGTCTCTCGTTGTGCAAGGCAATGACTACATTAAAAAGTTTGAGTAGTAGGAAGGCAATTAGCGCTACTTTTGAGAGCCTTGGAGTTCTGGATGGACACTAAAGACATTCAGGGAAGGAAATTGCTGTAGCTATAGCATTCTTCGGGCTGCGCTGTTGCGCTGGCCCCATTCATCATGGCTCCATCCATCCATTCTCCGTGTCGTTTTTTAGAGTCCCCAACTTTATGACCTGCCACTTATTGTACAACATCTGGTTGGAATGAATTGCAACGTCACCAATTCCGCAATATTGATTTTGTGTGCAGCGCATATATTCTATCTCAGTCGTTAATTACAAAGACAGCAGCGCAAAGTAAGATCGGCTCTAAAACGAAGTATTGCCTGCAAGTCCCTCATTACATCCATCATCCTCTTGGCCTCACAGCAGTTTTTCAAAACTGTTGCTTTTGGATCAGTTTGATATGTACGGATAGTCTACAGCCGAGTATTTTTTGGGAAATATTTCATGGCTTGCCGAACTCCTAGATCTCCAAGGACATCCTCAGCTGATTGGAGATGGTGATCGGCTCAGTGAGAGAGGGCGGAAATACAAGAAACTGGACTCACCTCCTCCAAGAATAGCATCGAAGGGAACAGTACGGTGGAAACCCTCAATGATGCGCCCAAGCCCGGTCTTGGTAATGCCTAGGACGAATCATACATCGGAATGCGCAGACACGCAATCAAGTACGTACCTCGGCCACCAAAGATTTGCACTGCATCGGTAGCGATTTGTTGTGCCGAACGAGTGGTCTGCATCTTCATGAGACCGATTGGACCCGCGAGATACTTGGCTTGATCCTTCCATGGCTGTTTGGCGAACGGCACACAGCCCGACGGTGGGTTTGAAAGTGTTAAGGTTAGGCCAGCGATTCGGTGGGTGAAAGCCAAGACTGACCATATGGTTCATCTGATAAGTGATGTTCTCTAGCCACGCTTGAGAGGTCTCCACACGTGCAATCATCCCCGCTAATCTGAACCGCATCGTAAGCAAAGGGATTTTCTGAGCCTTGAACGGAACAAGGAACACGGCTCAACCGGTACGTACTTATTTCGCACTACTGGTTGCTCTAATAACGGCTTTCCGAACACAATCCGCTGGTGGGCCCACTGGAACGTCTCCTCCACAACAATCCTCATAATCTTAACGGTTATAGCGGTCATCATCCAGCGTTCATGGTTGAAATTGGCCAGAATGACGACAAGACCACCGTTCTCTAGCCCGAGAACGTTTTCGACAGGGACTTTAACGCCATCGAAGAAAACGTGAGCCGTCCCTGCTGCGGAGGAGTAGGCTGTTTTGATGAGTTTGGTTGTTACTTCCTCAGTTCGCGGTATTAGGAGTACAGTGAGGCCTTTCTGTTGGAGTATATTAACATTAAGCCCTGGCGTGTCGAGTATAAATAGGAATGGCTTGCCTCGGTCCTGCAAGGGGTAACGAACCAATCTGCGAAGTGTCCGTTCGTGATCCACCTGCGGCGCATCATTGTTTTACGTCAGTTAACCTGTGTGTTTGCAAAGCGAAAGTAGCGCAAAACATACTTTTTGGTGCCCGTGACGATAAAATACTTTCCATCAGGGGTCCTCTTGGCAGTCGTGCGCAAACCGGCGACATCACTACCGGCAAACGCCTCTGAGATAGCGAGGCAAATATGCTGCAGGCAGAATTGAACGACAACGGGTCGCAATGACAACAAACGGCAAAGCACAGACTCACCTTCTTCCCATCCAAAATATCAGCCAAATATTTGGCCTTCAAACTCTCACTTCCGTAATAAACCAAGGCAGGTAGTCCAATAACGCCTCCACCCAACAACCCATCATTATAACCCCTCGTCGCTGCATTCGACATCTCCTGATGTAAAATCATCTCATGGAAATAATCAAATTCTTCCGGTGTAATGAGCCCTCCGAACAGTTGACGGCCTTTCAAATGAGGGCCCGGGCCAATTCTCATTGCGATTATGTTGTTCTTTGCCATGGCTTGGATGACTGAAGGGGAGGGCATACGATCTAGTGGGTCATTGACCTCACCATCTGGGAAGACTACCTCTTCGGCGAACTTGCGGGCGACATGAAGGAATTTACGGTGGGACTGTCAGGTAAAGGAGAATTCGACGAAAGGCACGTCAGATATGGTGGTGCACGTGCAAGATGAAAACCGTGCCTCTTTGAAATAGGGTGAGAAGAAACCTGCGGCAAGCCAGTTGGCTTCCTGACAAGAAATGATCGAGTGTCAGTTAGGGAAGAGCGCGGGAAAGTGGATCGGTGCGAAAGTGCCAAGGACGGAAAGATCGAAACTCACCGAATAAGGGATACGTTTAATATCACCCGGCTGACGAGGAATAATACGCTGCTGCTGGCCTTTGACAGTGCCAATGATGAGTCGTTGGTAGGCGGATTTGGCGAGGACTTCTTGTCGGTGAAGAGAGAAGAAGAGGTCCGTTACGTCTTTTCCGGCTGGATGATATCCCCGGTTTTTATTTGATTCGATTAGTTGTACAGACAATGCCAGTGGTAATGGGATGGAATAAACGCCAGGAGTGCAAGCGAGGTCCGAGACATGGGAAACGATCAGAACGGTGTTGGAGCGGTTGCAATTTAACGTGTGGGGAACGGCAATCTCACCGACTTGTGAATCATACAAGACGCCACTCCCGCCAGGATGCATGTTTGCGAACTTGCTGAGGTCATAGACCTTGGAATTGATCACGATCCACAAGTCTTTCTCCGCATTATGCTAAGGGCAAGACACAAGGCGACAGCACAATATCATCAGTAAGTGTTTGATGGCTGGCGCAGGTGGTTTGCTTTCACCTTCGAAACCTCCTCTAGTGTGAACTCTCTGAGCTGGTTTGCCATGACGAAGCGCTCTCGTTTATTGACGCTTCAAAGGGGGAAATGGGTGAAGAGCCCGCAAGGGAGCGAGAGACCGAGAAAAGACATACAAGGGAGTGTGCTGTGCATTTATAGGATGATTAGATTCGCGTGACAGTAGAGAAAAATCAGAGACCATGCCTATATTATATGAGCGTGGCAGAGATATGAACAGCCTAGATGTCTTTAACTGTAGCGCTGTGGTGCGACCAGAGAATGATCCTTCCAGCCGTCCTGGTTGTGGATGAGGCACTTGTACTGCAGTAAATCGTGGATATGAATCCAATTGCTGGCCCAATTCTCTGAAGGCGATGAGAGCTGATCTTGCCATCAAGGGCTGTGCTGTGTTGTACGTATCAAGTTTGTTCCGAATGGACTAGCTCCGTTTGGGAGAGTCATCGGAGATCAGCGCGCCACCAAGATAGGAATACCCGGAGGCTAATGGCATGTTTATGCGCGGACCCCTTGCCCGTCACCATTCATGATCCGCATATCGCCCCGCCCACATTATTCCCCTCGCTAATCATTCCCATATATCCCAGTCATGCTCGGCCGCGCTCCGCTCGGACCACTGTGTCAACACCCCATTCATCATTGTAGCTTCCCATGATAGCAGTTGATAGACAATGAAGAGTTGGCACCATGATTCCGCTTCAGGGGTGCCTGCAGCATGGGGCAGGGTTTATCAGATCACCTGGTCAAATGGTCAAGTGACAGACACTGTTACCTTGCTTGCAAGGTCTCTTTCGCATACACGATTCGTGGGAACTTTTACTTTCCCACATGTTGGGGGTCGGCAAGCCGTAGGCTTGCCGGGTTCCAGTCACGTGCAAAAATCATAGTCCATGGATGGCCACCGTCCTCATCTGAAAACCATTCCTCTTGACCACACAACACATATTGGATGTAGCCATAATTATAGTCCCATAATAATATAAAAATACCCATGTGGGATATAAACCCATTTTGAAGCAGTTTCATATGTGTGCACAGTCATTCACCCCTCAATGAGACACACCCCCCAATGATAAATCACCACATAACTTCCGAGCCCCCCCACCCTTTGTGATGAGATTTGGCATGTATGTATATAAGTCGTTGCTAGGACTACTTATGTACCGAGTTTGATGTCAAGCGGGCAAGAAGTAAAGGAAAAAATCGAGGAAACATAGGGAACTTGGGTGTGAGGAGTCGCCATGCTTGCAACTTAACCACTCCAGTTTCATTG